TGATGAACGAACGACTCAAACCCGAAGACTTGTCAGATAAGAGGTGAGGTGAGCTAATCATAGACTGAAGACTCAGGTAAACAATGAATTAATCTTTTCTGTTTCTTATAGCAGTTTTGTATTGTTTGTAGTGTGATCAACGTTTGCGTTAGTAGACGTGTTAGGGAAGTAACACATAACATTTTAATTGTATTTTGCTAAAATGAACGAAATGACTCGAAAAAAGATTCGTTCATTTTGCTGAACGAGACTCAAAGGTCCGAGTCGGTAAAATGATCCGAACTTCCCATCACTAACCGGAAGCCTCGCACATTCAAAGATAAACTGGCCACGCCTGCCATAGGTAACCCCCTTTATTAAGCATATATAAAAAAGTAAATACAGATGAATACTTCTTTATTTTTTTTTTACAGTCTATGGATGAATACATCTCACAAGATATGTTACCAACAACAACAATATAACAAGTAGGCCTAAACAATGGTAAACAACAAAACAGGAAAATAAGAAACAATGAGCCAGGGGTAGCATAACATTTACAATAAATTACACTTGAATTAAATAAAATTCATTAATTTAATTCAATTAAATAAATAAAAAATAAGTTAAATCATTGCGGTGGAGAATTGTAGTAGCCTAGGCTAACAATAGGAACAGTAGTACAAAGCTAAAAACTCTTGTAATTTATTAATTGATTATAGAATTGCATTTTGCAAATAGATACAAAATGTTAAGTGTATAGGCATAGGCTATTGCGGCGTTTAGATAAACTGTGCTAGGGTGTGCCAAAATGATTATGGTAAAGCCTCAGATTATGTGTAGGCTACTTGAGTAACAAAACTAAAATCTCTGCATCTTGTTTCGGTTCTTATTACAAATATGACCATATTTACGCAATTGGAAAATGTTTTGGCGATTTCCTTTTCAGATTATTGTGTTAGCGAGGAGTATTGTTTGATAATTGATGCCTGTGTAAGCATAGCTCTTGTTTCAGATGAAAGCACTTTAGTCATATT